CTCTCTCTCTCTCAGTCGCTGACATCTGAAAGTAAAAGGCTGTCGAGCGCCCGTTCATGGCGTGGAAAGCGCACGCGCCCACGTTCTTTTCGACGCAATATGCAACTAATTATAACTGGCTACTTATTTAGCGTAAGTATAGGTTTTTAGACTACTCGTCGCTTGGTTTAGTTTGCTGTCCACCGAGCCGTTACCATCATTCTTCTCTTTCTGATTTAGGGCTCATTCTCGAGCCACGCCAGCGGCCGAACAGCGACTAGTGGTCTAAGAAGATACTTGCATACCCGTAAGTTCTGGTTCAGAATAAACGCAAATGCGTTGGCTTCATCTAGGGGGCTGCACTTGGTGGCATAAAGCGTCGGCTATAACCCTAGAAACACACGTTTGCATTCTAGGTATACATTTTAGCGATGTTGTCCTCATTTTTGGTAGTTTGATGCTGTTTAACCACATTTTTAACTTCCTGAGTTGCTTCCAAGATCCTGAAATTAGTTAGTTTTTTGGAGAATAGATTCATGTTCATACCATAAATATATTGTCGCCTACTCCTCTTCATCATTAAGCCCCAAAAATGCCTGTTACAACTGATCACTCATGTCATGCTGAATTTTCCTTTATTGCCTGAGAAGGGTCCATATTTAGTTTATTCCTATGTTCTCTTACTTAGTTCTAAGCGGATGGACAAAGAAATGAGAAAGAGGTGTCGGGTTGTGGCTTACCATAATGACTTTTGAAAGGGCATATCCACCGCCCATAAGTAGCAGGACACCCCAGCTGCATCCTTTTTGTGCCTGTGACCAGGTGATTAGGCGCGTGTTGATCCGCTTGAAAGCCTGATCATCTAAAAGGTGCAGTCAAATGCCGGCATTATTTCACTTCAGTGCAGTTTTAGCAAGAAAACAGTAGGCAAAGGCCTCTGAAATTTGGTAACAAAGTGGCAATCGACTATATTGGTACAAGAGTAAACTTCGAAAGTACGTAAATTTCATGAGCTCCGGCGAAGCTCTAAAGCAGTCTTTTAAAGGGAGAGAAACGTTTCATCAATAAAATCTTAGATAAATAAGGCTCAGTTGGCTGTAATCAGCCGGCAAGGGTCCATCTTCGGAGCAGGTATTTGATATTTCAAACTGGGTCAGGTCAGGTATATTAAGGATAATATTGTCAAACGCCTTTGAACCCCCTTCTTCAAAACGGAAGCTAATAAATACTTTTATACAGCAGAACATTTTAAAAGAGATCGTTTGCAGAATTGCAGATGATGCGCGACCAGATACCGGTTAAGCTGAAAAAGCCGATAGAAACAATTATAAATTAGAATACTTCTGAAAAGTAACTACTAGTAGCAAGTTTTACAGATCATTAAAGAATTCTGCGTGCCCAAAAGTATTCGTCGCGATCCGTAAATTCGAGCTTCGAAATACACGAGGTAGGACTGAATATGAAAAGTCAGAGCTCGGATTGCTCTCTAGACTGTTTGACCACGTTCACAAATGAGGGACGATTCAGCTCACACTTTTGTCTCTGACGCCTGTATTCGGGCAAACACTCATGCTAACAGCCGAGAATTAGGATTTGGTAGGCTGATGATGGCAGGCTGAGAAGACGGAAACGACCTAGTGCTATTTATGTATAACATATTCACTATTTTACAGCGTTTTAGGTGAAATAAGCGCATTTTGGCAATCACGCCAAAGTGAAATGCCCGAGGTGTGATGCAAATCGTTTTGCAGACAGCTGTGAGGTATCAGCATTCTCTAATATTAAGTATAAATAATGATTTTTTAATCGAACGGTATGGCGCAAATTTATGTCAAGTCAGAAACCAGGGCCAGCACTTAGTGATTTTTGTTAGGAGGCCCAGCACGCGAGTCATTACTCTTGTCATCCTGAGGTCACGCCTCAAAAGGAGCCTCGAGCAGACGCAAGCCGGCAGGCTCAAAGAGCAGTGAACCCGGTCAAGAATGCAGCTGAGTTATGCATCTCCCAGATAGGTCTACCAGCACCCGATGGCCGTCCTGAGGTCAAGATAAAAAAGAAGACCCATATGCCAAAGGGTGAATGCAGAACGGGCCAAGGGCGCGTAACAGGGCCGCCACTTGTGACACTGAGGTCACTGGCATCACACGACGTCTGCCACACAGAGGGACCAACAAGAAGATACAGGGGATAAAGACTGCTGGCACTTAAATACGAGGCTGCGAACAGAAGGCGCATTCTGCTGCTGACACAAGATTCTGTTGCCCGCATGAGAGCATGCTGCCGATACACAGGACAAGCTGCAGACGAGATGACTTGCTGATGGACACGGGACAATTTTACAGACACGCGCAGGGTTTGATGTTCACGCAGAAACTGTACAATAAACTGTTCTCTGCTACCCTTTCTGTCTTCTCCTTCTAACATTCATCTGGAAGATATAATAGTCTGTTTTGGAATCACACAGTATTTGTTGTACGTTGTCCACATATCCAAACTGTGACATACTTTACGTCCACAACTAGTCTCACAAAAAAAGACAAATGTCTTGCAAATCGTTAGGGGGAAGTATTTTTCACTACCTTCATGTGCAACAGCAATGTCTAACTGGGTGCACCATATCAGGGGGCATTGGCCTTTGAATTCGAAAAAAAACATCCCCAAAGTGATGGACATAACCGTGTTACTATCAGGTATGACAGTAACTTACCTCTTTCCGCCTCACTTTGGCGCACTCGCAGGGGATTAGTTGCCGGCAGCAGAAACACCAATATCACGAAGAACACTGTGGCCTGGACATCGTCGACATACCTTGAGGAAAATATTAGGTTTAACGAGTAGTTAATTTTAACCTACTGTATTACTCTGCTCTTGTCATTCGTAGTAGTGGGCATTAAACGTGACCAACCGGGCATTCCCGGTTCGCGACCAATCCAGAGCACGATAAGTAGAGCGAAGATGATAAGGCACGATATTTCTCCATATCTATAAGGTGAAGAGAGGGCGCTCTCAATAAGTGGGCATATATATGTACAAGTAGAAAAGTCAAACCTGCATTACTGTTACCCACCTACGAGGGGGTATAGTGACTATCTTCACACGAAGTGCATTTGTATACGCTTGTCGTGACTACCTCAAGTCGAAGAAAATTTGTGAACGGTTGCTGTTTACGGCCTCTGGAACTCACAGAGGACCTCATGTGGTGACTGCCGAGCAGACATCACTCAAGACGCCATCCACTGGTTTGCGGTTGTGTAGTAGTCTGACAGCCAATCTTTTCCTGCCTATCCTCTTCTTCACTTCTCCACAGAATATACTCTTCCTACCACTCTGGCCTTCCCATAACTTCCCCTCTCCTAAGGAACTGGAAGACCGCAGTTGCTACTGTTCAACTTACCTAACCCGCTGCGATGGAGGCACTGTAACGTGCACTTCGTAGCACGCTTGGCGATCTGTGATCCCAGACGGTCTCCTGAAACCCTGATACTGTCTGCGAGACCAGCTTGTGTTGCCCGCGTAGATGGGTTGTTTGCCTTTGACATGCATTAGGCAGGCATCCGCTAGCCTTTCAATCGTAGCAAGGTGTATTTGCGATTGCGATCGATGCTGTGCAATCCAGCCTCACAATAATCTTTTGAACATCAAAGACACTGGTACTGCGCTCAACTGTGGAGCACGCAACAAACTTCGCCGCTTATATGGGTCAAAGTGTTATACAAATACTAGTAGTTGGATGCTGTTTAAATTTGGAGTAGGCATGCCATTTTTCCGAAGAACAATAAAAGAGCATCATGAATATATCTGCCAGTTACAACCTCCACATGAAAGCTCTGATAGATAAAGATAAGTTGGACTAGAAAACCTAAAGGACAGACTCAAAAAATTTCAGTATCGTTGGCTTCAACTCAAGGACCAGATGATGGCGGTCGGAAGCGTGTTCGTAAGTCATGGGCCCAGCCACCTTTTTTCAATACAATGTGCAACCTTCATATCCTAGTGAGTCTTTCCTAGGTCACAGGTCGCATGTCGCAACAGACGAAGACAAATATTTTGGAGGATCGAGCCACTTTCCGAATGTTTTCCACACGCGATAAGAAAAGTTATATCTTCAGGACGGACCAGGCATGAAATACAAAGCTTACTTGATGGAGCCCAGAGCAAGACTCTCCTCTCTAACGATCTTCTGTACAGCCGAAGTGATAGTCCCAGAGGCGTCCCTATTCTCTTCTATCTCAACCTCGAGATCTGTTGGCGTAGTGCCTTCCGCGACAATGAAGGCATGATAGGCCTCGTTTGCATCCCGGTCGAGATCTTGTCCTTGCGGCTTTTTAGCGCACCTGAGGAAGGCTCTGGAGTTGGGAGGAACGAGATAAACATATGAGACAGACTGGCGAATAATAAATTTTGACAATCAGTCACGCGGTGAAACCATGCAAATGTGTAGCCTACTTATCTGAGTTCTTGAATATCCGCTGGTTTAGTCCCTTAAAGACCAACGAACGCACGACACGGTTGTTGAGTAGGGTTCTTTTGGCCAGGCTAGGTTTAGTTTACGTGAAGCTGCACTCAGTACTGGCTCTGCTTACTCATCTCAGCTTCTCTGTCCCTTGGTCGAGTCGCTGCCTCGCAAGGTTGAATCCAACAACTGTGCATCTTTTCAGAAAATTGAAGCATTGTTTTCCCGGAAGAAATTTGAACAAGGCAAAGATCACTGGATTAGCTGAATTTAATGATGTCATAAAATTTCGTGACCTCTCATTCAGCTGCAGACGGTCGTTGCCTCGCACTGCCGTGGTAACGATCGATAAACTCATTCCCGTTTACGTCTCCTCGCCACCCCTATGACTGATTGCTACCCTGTCCCCTGCACAAACCCCCCCCCATCTAACGACGTTCTACAGGCTTGCATGAACGTGCACTAACATGAACTGCCATGC